TTTTTTTTTTTTTTGAAGATAATCTTACTTTGTCGCCAGTCATAGAGTGCCATGGTGACATAGCTCATAGTAAATTCTTGGGCTCAAGTGATTCTCTTGCCTCAGCCTCCCAGTTAGCTGGGACTTCAGGTACACTCCATAACACCTCACTATTTTTTTTAGAGATTTGGTCTCACTAGTGCTCAGGCTGGTCTCGACCCTGTGAGCTCAGACAGTCCACCTGCCTCGGCCTCCCACTTTGTGCTTAAAGTGTAAGGCACAAAGAAAATTATACCACTATTTGTTTAAAAAAGAAGTGCAAGTGTTTGCATAAGCATAGATCATCTCTGGAAGGAAAATAGAGAAGCTAGTGGGGAGGAGGAAGATTGGGGTTCAGGGATGAGAGGAAGATTTAATTTTGGACTGATTAAGATGATTTAATTTATCTGTATTTTTTTTTTTTTGAGACACAATCTCACTCAGTCACCCTGGCTAGAGTGCTATGGTGTCATAGCTCACAGCAATCTCAAACTCCTGGGCTCCAGCGATCCTCCTGCCTCAGCCTCCTGAGTAGCTGAGACTACAAGCAACCATCACCACACCCTAGTAAGTTTTCTACTTTTTTGCAGAGATGAAGTCTCGCCCTTGCTCAGGCTGGTCTCAAACTCCTGAGCCCAAGACATCCACCCACATAAACTTCCCAGAGTGCTGGGATTAGAGGTGTGAGCCACCTGCCTGGCCTCATCTGCATATTTTAGCCTTTCAGCTATATGAAAATTTAAATAACAGCATTCATAGGATGATAGCTACAGATGAAGACAGAGGAGATTCTTCACCCTGGGGGGAATGGGGCTGACCTTGACTGTGGTCAGATTTGGGAAAAGGTCTATATGGTGAAATGCTCTGTCCCACGACTAAAATTAAGCCAAAGTCTCTGAGCTGGACCTATCGGTTGTCCATCCCCCCAAATTAGGGGGTACTCTGTGGCCAAAAGCCTGAGGCAGGAGCAGTTATGGGAGATGGACCCCATGGGACCCTTGGGGCCTGGCTGGGGGAGGAGGCAGAGTGGCAGACGCCAAGGGGGCCACTCACCTGGTACTCGTTGTGCAGCACCAGGATGCGGACGTTGAATGGTTTGCCATTCTCAAAGGGCATGTGAGAGGATTTCACCTCACATTTCCAGCTCCCATTCTCACGGCTGTTCATTACCACAAAATGGCCAAAGTACACTCGGAAATGGAAGGCGATGTCTGAACTCTCGGATGTTCCAGTGTGGAAATCTACCTGCAGCTGTGGGTCCTTGCTGAAGAGCAAAGCACACAGCACATTGGCTAGATCCCTTCCCTGTGGGGTAACACACACTCCACACACGCCCAATCTTCTTCCTCACAATGGGCAGAAGGCCTCCCTGCCTGACACGGTGTTCCTTGTCTTTGTTGGACTGTGTCAGTTCATCTTGCCCTGCACGGTTGGATGCCCTGTCCCAAGGCTAAAATTCAGCCCAAGTCACTGAGCTGGACCTGTTAGTTGCCCACCCCCCAAAATTCTATGCCCCCTGATAAGGAGCTCCAGCTCCAGCCCCTGAAGGGTCTCTTTGCCCGGACCCTAAGACCTGCCCACAGTCCAGCAACAATAAATTTGATGCCTGGTGCTGGAGGGGTCTCCAAGAGCTGCACCTGCCCTGTGCTGCCATCCTGCCAATCAGACATTTTAACATCACTCGGACACGAGGTAAGGCCCTAAGCTAATATTCTCCCTTCGCCTTCACCCCCTCACTCGTGGACTGTAGGATACTCACACAAAAGGGAGGAGAGTCGTTCCTCTGATTGTCACAGAAGAGCCAATAGGCAAGGTCACAAACTGCGTGTGTGGCACCTGCCATAGGGATCAGGGTGGAAGGGTTAAGGCTGGGTGTGGGCCCCCCTTCTGTAACAGTTTCCAGCAGCCCAGAGGCCTGAGGAGAAACTCTTGGGCTCTCTTTCCCCCTCCCTCTCATGGCCCTATATTCTTTTTTTTTTTTTTTTTTGAGACTGAGTCTTACTCTGTCACTCTGGGCTGGGTACAGTGCTGGGTAGAGCTCACAGCAACCTCAAACTATTGGGCTCAAGTGATCCTTTTGCCTCAGCCTCCTGAGTAACTGGGACTACAGGTGTCCACTACTATGCCCTGCTACTTTTTGTATTTTCAGTAGAGGTAGAGTCAGAATCTCACTCTTAGGCTAACTCCTGAGCTCAGGCAGTCCATATACCTCAGCTTCCCAGAATGCTAGGATTACAGGTGTGAGCCACCATGCCCAGTCAGGGTCTTTTTCTTTTCCTTTTTTTTTTTTTTTAGACAGAGTCTTAGTCTGTCACCCTGGGCTGGGTAGAGTAGCATGGTGTCATAGCTCACAGCAACCTCCAATTCTTGGGCTCAAGCGATTCTCTTGCTTCAGCCTCCCAAGTAGCTGGGACTACAGGCACCTGCCACAATGCCTGGCTATTTTTAGAGACAAGGTCTTGCTCTGGCTTAGGCTGGTCTCAAACCTGTGAGCTCAAGCAACCCATTTGCCTCGGCCTCTCAGAGTGCTAGGATTACAGGAATGAGCCACTGCGCCAGACCATCCTAGCCAGGTCTTGAAGAGATGGGAGGGCCAAGCTCAGAGCAAGAGCTCAAGAGCCCAAGTGCCTGGAGTCAAATGCTGGATCTGCCTCTTACTGGTAGTGAGATCTTCGATCCATTATGTGAATGTTCACTGCCTCAGTTTCCCCAGTACAAGGATGATTATGGGACACTTCTACTTTGTAGGATGTCCTCAGTAACAGGTGGGTTAATACATCTGAAGCCTTTAGTCTAATCCCTGGTACATGTAGGGTCTCCACCAGGGCAGCCCATCAAGAAGGGGAGGGCCTCTGGAACAGCCTTTTGTCTATTTTTTACTCTCCAAACCTGGGAAAACAAGACTTGAAGATGTGAAAATAAAGTTTAAAAAATATTTACTCTCCCCCTCAATTCATTCCAGTGAATTAAAGAACACTTGTTTATAGACAGTGGGAAATAATAAAAGAGGAAACCTGTTTGTGTGGGATGTGTTTGCATCACACAGATCTTGGGCAATGTGTGTCCTTTCCTTTCTTTCTTTCTTTTTTTTTTTTTTTTTTGAGACAGAGCTTCACGCTATCCCCCTGGGTAGAGTGCCATGGTGCCATAGCTCACAGCAATCTCAAACTCTTGGGCTTAAGCGATTCTCTTGTCTCAACCTCCCGAGTAGCTGGGATTACAGGCGCCACCACTAGTTTTTCTGTTTTTATTTTCAGTAGGGTCAGGTTCTTGTTCTTGCTCAGTCTGGTCTCCAACTCCTGAGCTCAAGCAATCCACCTGCCTCGGTCTCCTAGATTGCTAGGATTACAGCAATCTAGGCTGTACACTGCACTCAGTCAATGTGTCTCCTTTCAAGACGGTGTACAAATTGAAAACATAGTCCTGCTACCTGCACAAACAATGGGTGAAGAATGGGGAAGTAACAGGCCAGGGTGGGGGCTGAGGGGGGCCTGTAGTCCCCATGTGCAGACCCGGCCTGGAAATCCAGTACCCCCAAGTCTGCGTTCATTTCCCCCAACTCTTCTTGAGAAGAGGCTTCTAAAGACTCATTCATTCTGCTCTGGGGAGTGCTCAGAGAACTCACATCCCCAGCACCCCTGCCAGTTCTACCACACATGGAAACCCCTGCAGTCATTTAATCTGTCACTGCTACACAGGGAAGTACCTTCAGAAACTCACCTATGTGTTCAGTTCAATACCCAGCCACAGATCACACACATGCTCACGCTCGCACAGGGACATGCAACTGAGTATCACCAGCCTCTCCATGCCCCTGCTCACTGGGATGTGCACAGTTGCTTGAGTACTGCCCAGGTTGTACTCCTGTGCATGCTCACAGCCACTGTCATAAAGGCAAAGCACAGTCCCACCCCCCTGCCGTCACTCACACCTGCCCATCCCAGTCAGCCACCCCCCTCCTGCACAAAGTCACCTCGTCTCAATAGAGTTCACTCTCAGTCAGACACCATCAAATGGGGACGTAGCTGGTCGTAGCTGGGGTCAGGCTGGTCGAGGGTCCACATGCCATACCCCACAAGGACCTCACACATCATGTCCCCAGAGGCTCAGTCTTCCACTCACCCCCACCTCTCAGGAAAACGTTCAATATAGAAATGCCCACATTTTCATCTCATAAAACCTCCCCCTTTTTCTTCCTTCCTTTATGTGACTTGGGAGTGTTAAGTCTGTCCCTCTTCAACTCACCTGTAGCCCTGACATTGTCTTTCTCCAGACAGTTCTTCCAAGTTGTGTCTCTTCTGTGTGGTGAACCTCCTGGAGTCCCAGCGTATAAATAACCCCTAGCAGCCCTGCCATTCCAGTTTCATCTCTGTTCCAGGCTCCTCCCAGCAAGGTTTCCAGCAGGGTGGGGCGGAGAGCAGGGGTACTGAGGGAAGGGGAAGTGCATAGCCGGCAATGTCCAGTCTCCGTGCCTCTCACTCAGCCTTTTCCTCTCAGTGCAGGATCCACCAGAAGGTATACAATTTTCTAACTTGCGCAGTGGTGAAGAAGTCGGGGTCCTGGCAATAAGGCCTATGAGCCTAGAAGGGAATCCTCCTTTTTTCTCTTCCAGAGGTTCTGGGAGAGCATAGAAATTGATCTCAGCAGGGCCTGGAGAGAGAGGTAGAGAAATCCTTGTGTCATCTCACCCCCACCTGTGCCCGCCCCTTGGCTCTGCCAGGTGAGGACCCCACACTCTGTCCCTCCCACACTGGGCTCCAGCCGCGCCCTCTCCTTCCTCTCTGGGTAGCCAGGGCATCACAATCTCAGAGACCCTGGTTATCCTGCAGATTCTGGGGGAAAGGTGAAATCCTTAACTTCTAGCCCTTGATTTGTGAGCTCCTTGTTTTCAGACCTGAGGACAGGTATAGGTACAGTGGTGTGTCTACAGCCATAACACAGCCTTTACCTGGGGTGAAGGACTGTGGATCCATCCTTAAGTACTCCTTCTGGGAAGAGAGGAAACAACCTAAAATGTGAATTGGGAAATTATTTATTTATTTATTTATTTGAGACAGAGCCTCAAGCTGTTGCTCTGGGTAGAGTGCCATGGCATCACAGCTCACAGCAACCTCCAGCTCCTGGGCTTAAGGGATTCTCTTGCCTC